AAAGCCCTTTCTTGGGGCAGGTGAGTATCACATCAAGCAAGAAAGCTTCTTCTGAGCTACGAGTTTTCAATACAGAGGAAACTTTTAACAAACTGCTCAAACACATTATTTTATTCATAGAAGAGTTACTGTCTTGTCAGCTACCATACGGGGTTAATATCTTCCATTTCTCTGGAAGACAACTGTCTAAAAAGGTTACCTACAACACATCAAGTACCAACTGTTTAGGAATACAATATCAAAAAAGATAGGGGTGTGTAAATTCTCCAGTTTTGATAAAAAAGATTGATTTATCAAATAACTCAGATTAAGATTTATTCTGTAATATTTTGTAGCCGAACAGTATATTAAATAATTAAAACAACATTATATTTTTGCTATTTAATCTGCTTCAGAGACACAAACCAAAAGAAATTTAATTGGCTGAAGAATTCAAAACTTTGTAGATTATTATAAAGAGGTGAAAATTATGCTATGATGATTATATATAGAAGACCTATATTCCAAGTGTTCTAAAATTTCAACGAATTTGAGATTTAAAAGATGCTAAATACAATTTCTTGCTACGTGTCTAGCTACATATTAGGTAGCATCCTTTGGGAAGGGAATACTACATAACAGAGAAAGCATTATGGTGTCTGAACAGCACTATTTGCACTAACTGCACTATAAGTGCAGATAGTTTGGAATAATTGTTAAAACTCCAAAATTTGTGTACGATGTGTAAAAAGTAACACAAGTTCTTTCACATTTGGAATTCCACTCACACAAGGTTTCTAGTTGTCTTGTCATATGACAAATGATTTAAAAAAGTTGGCTCACTGGAGGTGCTTACTATGCTCAGTAAAGAACATTATCTTGGTGTGCCTCTTGGTGTCTGGCTAAAATCTGTTTATTGGGGAACTTCATGTAAAATTTTATATGAAGCCACTCTATTTTTCAAAATATTTAGTGTTGATACATTTCCTACACATGGTAGATTCTGAATTCAGAACGTGAGAAAGCGCTTGCTCTGAGATGCAAGCCATGCATAAAACTATTCCTATCAGGAATTTCAATGCAATTGAGTAAATAAAGAGTATTTAACAATCCCCTAAATATTGGCCTCCTTATTCTATGCCATAGCGAAAATGGTTATTCTCAACATTCAGTCCCATTATTACACCTGCAGTTATGAGTCTTAGAAGTTTTCCTAGCGTACGTGCAGCTGGAGTGTATTCAGCAGATAAGCACGTACTTCTTACGACGACAACGTCAAATGCAACGAGAAGAAACACATTAGCTATGAGATAGAGAAGGGGATACTGCTGCTTCATCAGCAAGACAATACAAGTATTTTGTGTGTGTCCTCTGCTACTGTGTGCATGCATGCTGCCTGTCGGTGAGGGGGTACTGTTACAGGACAGCCAGGCCACCAAAAGTTAGTGAGGAACTGCAGAATCCTCAAAGTGGAAACCAAAGCATATTCCACAGATCCATGCAGAAACGCCACCCAAAATGGCAATATTCCCTTCACACAGCTGCAGCAATGAAAATGTCAAGAATCAAATTAAAGCAGGATACCTGCCGTGCCCACTGATGTTTGCTGACAAATTTAGTAAATTTTTAATCTTAAAATACAGAAACATATAGTATTCTGAGCAAAGAATAAAAACGCAGAGGAGATGAAAACTTTAAAAATCATTCAAAAATCAAATCTTAAAAATGTTTTGCTATCTAAGTTTGCTATCAGAAATATCAAAATAATGTCAGAAAGAGGAAGGTGATTGACAGAATATGTCGATCTCAGAAAGCTGCTTTAGACCGTACAATGGAGATTCAAAGCTGGGGCAGACTATAAAAGGGAGATGAGCAGAATTTCCTGTATCCATGCAACCATTATTATACTATTCACACATACTACCCATTGCCACATCGTGATTAACAGACAAGCGCAATAAGGGAAAAGTTGCAATCAGGTTACATGAAGAGGACTGAATATCCCTGCTGATTACAAATGACAGCTGATTTTTTCAGTCAGGTCGGCACTTAGGAAACACACTGACTCGGAGGATGGATAAGCCCTCCTTGGAAGTAGGAGGGCCAAACTCAGTACCCACTTTCTTCACATCCCATACGCAAGCAAAGCAACACTGCCCTACTTTTAATTAAGAGTTTATCGTGATCCATCCTCACCACAAAGATCTGCCACGTGACATTGTAAATACTTCTCAAATACAGATAAACACAGAGCTACACATGATCAGGAGCTCCACACTGAGTCAAAAGGTGCCCACCGAATATTACAGAGCACAGAGCAATGAACCGCACACCTGCAGGCACGCAGACATCCGTACACTGATGCTGGCTTTGAAATTAAGACAGCTAATATGGAAGCGTAGGGCTTGAAATGTGTTCTGTTTGACAGAACTCTCAAGTTCTCTTGTTCCCTCAAGATGCACATTAAACTGACTTTCTACTTACCATCATCAAAATTCCTAACAAACAAACGCTGCTCCAGTATATTAGATACTTGTAAGTAAACAAACAAAAATTAATTTTGGAGCAGATCGCTTCAGAATTCTCTTTCACTGATACCGTTATGGTCCTGGATATGTGGGAAGCCTTGATTATCTGAAAAGCTTCACTTTTCCAGCTGGGTCTCTGCTTTTGGTGTACCTTCTGAAAAGCAGCTTTTCTGTTCCTTTTTTTCCTCCCTCTTCAAACGTATTGTTTTCACCACTCTGAGCCCTCTTTTTCTTTGCTCCAGCAACCCTCCAACACAAAGAAAGACCACCTTGATCAATGAATCCTGCCTTCTGCAAGACACATTAGGTCTGGTGGGGTCGCCAGAAAAGCTATTTAACCATAAAATACTCCTGCCCCCACACCCTTCACAACAAACTTCAAAGCCAATACTGCATTACTACAGCCATAGCTAAAATATACCAGACGAAGAAAGTGGGAGAAACTAAAGACAATCCTTGACATCTTCACTTCCCTCCTATTGCAGGAACATAATTAGATTCAATTTTCAAATATTCCTAGTTAACAGACCATGCCCATGTTACAGGAAACACCCACCAGTCTTTGCCATTCCTGTATGAGGGAAATTCCTTCTTGACCTCAAATCTGACCATGGGTTGAACACCAAGAGAATGTCCACAAAGTTTTTAATCAAGAGATCTTTAAACCACTGAGAACTAGGCCAAACTTTGAAGTTTAACATTTTTTTTGCTGTTCTCCACTGACACAACTGACTCCACCACAGCCTACTTCAAGCCAGGGAAGTCTGTAGAGTTTTTTTCTAATTTCATGCCACACAAACAGCTTTTAAAGAACTGCCCAGACCTCCATTTTAATTTTTAGAGTATTATACAAAGCACTGAATGTAAGATACTCCAAGCCAGGTAGAAAAAGAATTCCACCAACTACTTAAGAAAGCTGCCCTTTAACATCAGTGCCCAATCAACTGGTGCTTCGTAAGCTCACCAAGTGATGATACGAAACCCAGCAACCAATACTACCTTATATTATGTATACGTAATGCTTTCCAGTTATCATACTAACCATATTAGGAGACAAATATCAACATTTTAATGGAGGTCACATTATGCCATAAATGACATGCAGTGCTTTGATGCATACAAGTAGTACAGTTTTAAAATTAAATTAAATTAAAATTAAATTAATTAAATTAATTTAATTGAATTAAAAGTGAACGTGCAATACACAGCTCTTAGGAACTGACCAATTCCTAGACACTGAGCTGGCATGCTATGTCCAAGGAATTTATTACAATTTCCATATCCTGTAAAGAAGCTTAAACATACAAGTTTGTGGGGGTTTTTTGGTACTGAAAGTTTGTTATTTCAAAGTAAATTGTTTTCTAATTGCTCATCACTATACATCAATATAATGCTATAAGCCATCACTTTTCATGGTATAATGATGATAATAGATTTTAAATTCTTTGATTAAGCTACTTGAGTAATGACAAAAAGACTGGACCTTTCCAAACATAAAAATACAATGAATCAACATCTGTCATCTACAGAAATGGCACAAACGTAATTTAATGTGATCACATCAAACACCATCCATCATTCATCTGTAAATCCACTTCATCATATCTAATCCAACACTCTGTAAGTATTAACAGTCAGCCTTAGTAAAAGCAGAGTATTTTAGCAACAATCTATCACATGTCAAACACAAGTATCTACAGCTTGGGTGGAAATTAAGCACAGAATTTCTCTTGGATCAAAATTTAAACTTATCTTTCAACTTATGAAATTAAAAAATAGTATGTTCTTGTTGATTTAACTAGCAGGTATGTAAGAGAACTCAAGCTTGAGAAGGGAAGAGGTATAAGTGACTGACTTACCTTATGTTTTTTAATTTCTGGTTGGTAAATCTATTCTTCCAAGAGCAGCCTTTTCAAAAACCTACAATTTCAGTTCCAACAACAACAACAACGACAAGAGATAACCTTTTCTGACATCTTTACAAAGACAATAACATCATTTTGACAACAATTTTGTATTCTGAACTGAGTAACAGAATCTGTATGACAAAAATGTAACAAATTTCTCATCTTGAAGGAAAGCAGCATTCATATCCTTCCTGGAACTAGAACGCAAAACTACGTCAGATTAATACTAGATAAATACTTAACATCTTTAAGGAAAGAAAGATTATTAACACCATGACATTGCTGTTTTAGAAAGTCTACTCACAAAATGGTCATTAAAATAATTTTTTAACAAAAAGTGATAAGTACATGTTATAAAACATTAGAAACAGGCAATTTTTCAGCACTAAATCTATTCTTCGCTTAACTAAAAAAAGCTGGTCTTCATCTGAATACTCTTCTATGGGTTTAAGTTTCCTAAAGGCACCATCACCATAAAAAAAAAAGATAGTATTTTCCCTATATTAATCTGACAAAAATATGAGATGGCAAAAACCATGAAGACCACATCTGTAGAACTGCAAGGGAATGTGTATGCCTTGGAAACCATTTCAGTGAAAGGATACAAGTTTTGGTATAATGGGATTAATGATTTCAATGCACGGCTTGCATTTATAGCTGTTGCACGAACCATAATAGGAAGAATTTTTCCATTCACAATAGCACCATCAAAGAGTGGACCAAAAAATGGAACCTGAATAAAAAATTAAGAAATTTAACATAAAGCAAGATCTTAGCTGTAACAATTAGCAATCAACATTAACAATAGAGCACTCAAATATATCTTTTTTTCCCTCCTCATTGCCAGATAATCAGACCAGTTATTGTGCTCCATGACAGACCTTTTCTCTTGTAGAAATATACAGCCATGTAACTGCTTGATATCCTTGGTAACAGATAACACAGCCTTTGAAGAAAATTAAGCAACCATTTGAATACTACGTCTCATCAAAGCTTATTTCCAACTTTTCCTGCCAAAACCCTAGGGACAGTCATACATATGATGTTTATGAGGTTGAAAGGCTAGATGACAATACTGTAGGTGGTAGTAAGCAAAAGGAATAATTACTCAAATTTAAAAATAGTATTTACCATGGCTTTAGATAGAACATGTCCATAAGGACCAATTTAATGTGCAACTGTCATACAATTACTGGTGGACCAACGCTCACCTTCCATTTTCTTTCCTTCTCTCTGTTGTTCTTCCTTTCTATGGTATTTTCACAAATGGATTGTAACCCCTTTACAGGAGAAATCTATGGTGAAAGTTTGGCCTCTTTGGACCCCAAGTCTAAAGCCTTATTTGTGAGATCAGTAGAAATGTCTACGATATGTCTACTAGAAATGTCTACTATGTCTACTATAGGTAGCACCCAAAAGGTTTACAGAGCAGATGGATCTTATGTTTTGTCATTACGTTTTTCTCTCATCAACCATCATTTTGCAATTTAAAAAAATAAAAATTAAAACTTTATTAAGTATTTTCATTTCCTGCACATATGAATAAAGTTCTGAAGCTGCTAGCATAAAGCACGTGAAGAAGAGCAAAGTTTGTGCGTCAGATCAGCAAAGGGAGCAGGGTGTACACTAAATACTCTTCTTGCTAAGATGAAACCAATGCTACAGAAGAATTTTAGGTAACTATATTATCTTTTTCCATCAGTCATTTAATGTAGTTTTGAGAATACTGAAATCTGATAGAAGGCACTTCTTTTTTCACATACAAGGACCTCTTGTTGGACTAACAACAACCCCTGCTCGCAACAGTTGTCTTTTTCCTTCTTAACCTGCACGCTCCCAATAATACAACTCTTTGTACTTAAAGTAGTAAAAGAAACAATATACTTACTAAGTAAAAACATAAGTAATCCAGTAATACCAAGATCATGTACTGGATATAATTTCATGCCGATCATCAGGCACTTCATCTATAAATATTAGTGCTTCTAGAAAGAATTTGAATATTTAAAGTATAGAAATTCATGGCAAGTGACATCACACAGAGAAATTATGCAGTACAAACACTCATGACCACTTTTACTCAGTCAGTGTTTGCCACCCTAAACCACTGTTTTAAGAACAGGCCCAGCACAGACAGT